TCATCCAACATTTCTAAAGAAGCAAATTGATACTTAGTCCTTGTTTGGTATCAACTAAAATCTAAATTTTAATTTAAGTCAAAATCAACAATTCATTTCAATCACATATTATATGGATTCCGCAACTTTTTAACTATACATTTCATCAACTTCTATCAAAATTATATTAAACATTTGATTTTAATTCCCACCAAGTAGTGGCTTAATAAAAGGAGAAAGTTAGTGCTCCATTGTTCTACAATAAGCAAGGAGATTCTCTATATTTTTAAAAAGATCTCCTTGGTCCTTCACCTTTTAAAGGAGGAGCGATCCAGTCCTCCAAGATTTTAGAAGGAGCAAATTGGTCATCGGATATTTCAAATGTCGCAATTTAGTCCTCCAACTTCTTTGAATGAGCAAATTCAATCCTCCATTTTTGACAAATATTTATCCGCAAACTACAAAATTAATCAAATTGGTCCTCCAGCTTTAGCTAAGGAGTAATTAGGCTGTCTAACTTTGAATAATGAGCAATATTCCCTCCAACTTTTGAAAATATCTAATTTGTTCCTCTATTATTTCAAAAAGAGCATGTTGATCCTCCATCTTTCATGACATTCTTGGTGGTCCTCCCACCTTCAGTAGGATAAAGTGGGTCTTCCAACATTTTCCAAGGACCGTGGTTGGTCGTCCAACTCTATATAGAAGCAATTTGGTCCATGGGCCTTTCATAATAAACAATTTGTTCCTGTAACTTTTAGAGAAGGAAGTTGCTCCAATCTTTCAAAATAAGCAAGTTGGTCTTCCAACGTTTAGAAATAAGCATGTTAGTCTTTTCGAAATGAGCAAGTTTCTCATCAATTTTACAGAGGAGGAAATTGCTCTTCCAACTTTCATGAAGAAGCTTGTTGACCCTCAAACCTTTCCAAAAGATTAAGTTGATCCTCCAACTTTAAAAAACGAGATAGTTGGTACTTGTCACTTCAATTTTTAAAGAGAAAGTTGGTCCTTAAACCTTTCAATAGGAGCAAGTTTGTCCTTCAAAATTCAGACATCTTGACAAATTAGGCAAAGTTGATGATATTGCCTAGTCTGTTTAGACACCCTTGCAAAGACAATGAAATTGCCACTAGATTTTATTTTATTTTATTTTTATTTTTTTTGTGCAACACAAACGAAAATCCTACTCAAAATTTAATGTCAAAAGTCGTCAAAGTCAGAAAAATGATAAGCTACCCATGCATTCCTGTAAAAATTAGAGACAACATGTACAATGGTTTGATATAATGGAAATAAAAGTAGAAGTTCATTATAAAATGAAACAAATTTATGTCTAACGATTAAAATGAAATTTTTATTCAAATTCAATGACGAAAATGAAAGTTCGTTCGAAGTTTGGTGACTAAGAGTGTCTTCTTAAACTTTTAGGAAGCCATTTCCGCACACTACTGCGAGTCTACGAGGCTCCCGACTAGGTGACCAAGCGAAACAAAACCCCTAAATACGATCCGGACCCCGATTCACCACAGGCTGACCCGCCGGCGTACCCGATATCAACCAGAAGAATTCAGACTCTCTGCGGCACAAGTTTCAGTTCGCCCAGCCTTTGTCGTTTAGAGGTTCTCGCTTTCAACCCCAAAACAATGGCGACTGTTATGCAGAAAATCAAAGACATAGAAGATGAGGTAATGCTCGTGGATCGAGAAAAAATTGATCTTTTATTGTTTGTGACGTTTTTAGTGTTGAAATGTTTGAGTAGGATTAGGTTTTATTTGATACTTGTTATCACTGTAACGATAAGAAGTACGACACGAAGAACTATGCTTTAGGGCAATAGAATCCGAACTGAAAATGAATAAATAATAATGTTTTTATTCATATATTTTGTGAAGGAAAAGGAAAACAGAAAAGAAAATTGTGTATATTTGGATTGTAGCAAAAGAAGAGCCGGGAAAAAAAAAAAATGTATATATATATATATATAACCACGACATTTTGATCTCTTTTATTTGCATTTTGTTATATATAAGCAAATACAACTAATTGCTGGGTAAAAGTTTTCTTTATAGTGATAATTTAGCTGGTGATGTTTTCTGTAGTTATACTGGAACATTCTATAAAACGGGGTTTAGGAGTTTTGCCTATCTATTTCCTATTTATTGTTTGATATGTTTTTATTATCGGAAGAAACAGAATTTTAAGCCTGTCAAGCTGATCCATTTTCTACTCTCTCACAGATGGCAAGGACCCAGAAGAACAAAGCAACAGCCCATCACTTGGGCTTGCTGAAGGTATATTCATCATGCCTGTATTTTTGCCGTAAGATGAAATTTTATTTTATTTTATTTATTTATTTATTTATTTTGTTTTTCTAGGCTTAGATGTGTATATTCTGTCTTTCACACAGAGCTAACTTTCACTTTTACGTCGTTTTGTTGTTGTCAAATCTTTGTATCCTGGTAAATCCATGTTTTGGATACTAGTGACCCTTTGTTAACTTGTTTATAGGATTCCAGTGAAGTGAATACAATAATCCTTCCTATTAAAGAAAAGTAAAACACTTATCATTGTAAAATTGCATGGATGGAGTGTGAAGGAAATCAAGTGATATATAGTCATGATCATATGTTGAATCTGAGATATGAGATTGGTTATGATCATATAAATATGTGTGAAGTCAATCTGAGACAATAAAATCTGAGATATTCAAATAAATTGGTCTGCATGGATGTAGTGTGAAGTAAATCATGTGATTGAACATTTTTACCCCGAATAAGTTCCACGAATTTGATAAATTCAATAATCTTACTGCTTGCACAGGTCCTTTACTGAAAGTCTGAAACCATGGCTACATCATGCTAACTAATTTTTACAAGGGTTCAATTGAGTAATGATATTACCTCCGTGAGGTGAGGTGTAAGCCTCAATTCAAACCAGTATAGAAAATTACAAAAGAAAACACAAAAATATTGTCGTAGTAAAATGTAAACCATTTTGAAAATCCACCTTAAAACTATATAATTAGATTTACAGATTATCTTACAAATAATAAAGAATAAATCCTTAAGTTCGTGTATTAAACAAACACTAAACAAACTTGATAATCTATTTCTAGCAAATTGATTTTCTTTTACTTCCTTTCAAATGCAGATAGATTTTATTCTCTTAATTTATCCAGTCAAATTGATTTTTTTGGTACGACATGATTTTGGTGGTAGGCTAAACTTGCAAAACTTCGGAGGGAACTTCTTACACCTTCATCGAAGGGAGGTGGTGGTGCTGGAGAAGGTTTTGATGTTACAAAGAGTGGTGATGCAAGAGTTGGTCTTGTGGGTTTCCCTTCAGTTGGGAAATCAACACTTTTAAACAAATTAACAGGGACTTTCTCAGAGGTTTGTAATTCTTGATATGTTCTTTTAACTATACATATTTATGCTTGCTGTTATAGGCTATGTGAATGTAGGATGCAATTTCTTTTGTATTCTGGGCTTGTTCTATGTTGACTTTTAATTTCTCATATGATTATGCTATCTCGCTAAGTGAAACCCAGAGTTGGCAAAGCTTCATTGAGTTATTCTTGAAGGTTTTTCTGCATGTGGTTGCAGGTTGCTTCGTATGAGTTTACTACATTAACTTGCATTCCTGGTGTAATCATGTATCGAGGTGCTAAAATTCAGGTATTATCATTTGGTCTTTGGAAGAGTAAATTTAGTTGCCTTTCAGACTCCATTGTGAGAGCCACGATCAATTGGTTTTCCTCTATCCTATTGGCATATGATTTTATTATTGTGCCTGAACTAGGAAAAGGTTTCATGAGACGTTCTTGTTGTTCAAATCTTTTTACTTAAACATAAGGAATTTGCTTGAATATTACACGTGTTCTCAGAGATTTCGGTGGGAGCTCTCTTTCTTTTTCGTGTAGATGGATGTCAGTTTTAATTATAGATAGAGCCGTAGACCTGAGGTTATACTGAACAGCAGCAGCATGATGTTTGTTAATATTTTTTAGGGGTCAAAGCTAAAGCAAGAAATTTCTCTCTTTGTCATTAATCAAGACTCTAGTCTTATTCATACATCCTTTGAATTTTTCATTGACGTACCTATGTTGAATCGGCAACCTGTTCCAGTCTCACCCTGGGTTGTCGATTATAGACTAAGAACCATTAATGAGTCTATTATCGATGCAATTATTCATTTATGTATTGACGGTGCCTAATTCTTGGAAAAAAGTTAATATATCTTCTTTCAGTGATAAATATGATATTTCAGGCCCCTGGCCTCTGAGATTCATTTAAAGACATTGCTATATGAAACCTTGTTAGTAAAATTCGTCTACACACTGAAGGAGCAGGACTATTGGTTGGCACATCTATGTAATCCTATTTCTGCTCAGGTCCTCATTTGCTCAGTTTTGTAATTTATTTCCCTTTCGAAAGCTTCTAACACGCGCTGATTGATTGCTATGGTATGCATTCCTTGTGTCCTACTGTCTTTAGATGTAACGATGATAATATTTATCTAAACAAAACCTTAAAAGACTTAAAAGTGAAGTATGTTGTCCATTTTGGTTCTTGATGCCATTAATGCTTCAGAATAGTTTAAAATGAGTGAGAAATATGGGATGACGGATGAGTTTCAGCATTTACACTGAGAAAGAAATTGATTGGAAGATGGTTCCCAAAATCAATACTGTCAATGCTTTCTGTTTATTTCCGTACTATTGGAAAAGTGCCATTATTCATCTTTTATGGATGATTTACTGTACCATGAGTGAAAAAAATTTTAAGTGCATATTTTTAAAATTCAGTTTGCATGATGCAGGCTTGAGGAACGTGAGGTTTCCTTTCTTTTTGGTTGGATCCTATATATGTTTCATCATAACTCTGAATTGTCTCTGTGACTCATGTTCAGAAATAACAGTACGATTTACGTTCTGAAATCACAGCCTGTGCCTTTTTCTGTACTTACGTTGGGATGTTCTTCCTGCTTTTGTTGGCAGTTATTGGATCTTCCCGGTATTATTGAGGGTGCTAAAGATGGAAAGGGTAGAGGTAGGCAGGTAAGATATGACACTGTTACTGATTTTATTATTATTATCATGGTATTTTTAACTTTCTCTCTCCTCTATTATCCACATGGATGGCTGTTCTCTTGATTTAGTGTCTATTTGTCTGCCTGTGGTGTTAGTTTTGCTTGTATGTAGCAGTGATGGTGGTTGGACTTCTGTAATGTACTCCCACCCCAATTTGAATGCCCTAGTTTTGGTTGGCACAACATATATATATATATATAACCCCCATTTTCCAGAAATGAAAATTGGTGGAATAGTATTTTTTTTTTTAAAAATGAATGGTTAAAAAAGAAAAAAAAGTTTTGGACTTGCGTGTAATATTATGGAAGATTGTGTGGTTGAAAATAGAAGAAAGAAAAATGGAATGGAATTTAATGGGGGCCAAACGAGTGGATATATATGTGTGTGTGTGTGTGTGTGTGTGTATGTATACGTATATTTCTTTTACCCATGGTAAATATTCACGTTTGTGTTAAATCATGGGTTCGTTCTTCCCCACCTTGTGCCACCGCAACTGCTGCTAGACATGGAGGAAAGCCACCATTGGCATAAAAATTTCAACGCCACCCCACTTCTACAATTCCACAACTATCAACCATTTCTACTTTAATTGTCACACTCAAGGGATAGAGGAGAGAATTTTCGATCCTTCTAACATTTATAATCATGGATTCTAAGTCATTCTCTTCGATTTTGGTCTCCTCAATCCACCCCCCTCAACAACATGCACTTAGAAAATAAAGCTCCCAGCCATCTTGCCTACTGTACCTTTATTAAAATACATGAAATTGAAAATTTGTAAAGAAAGTAAAACCATGGACTGAAGCCTTTTGATGGATGAGACTGTAAATCAGTGAATAAGGGGCAACGTTGTCAAGATAGATGAGAATGCATTGATCGAATGGAGGCTGCGCTCGTTGTGCCATTTATCTTGCCTATTGACAAAGATATTTCTGCAATGTTTGTCCAGTTTCTATATAGGCATGAGACTGTATATGACCTCTTTCCTTCATTAGATGTTTGGTAACGAAATTATCATCTCTACCTAGAGATTGCTGTAATTTTTTTATTCTTAGGGCATCATTTTTAGGGTGCAAGTATTCTTTAAAGCTTGATGATACCGATAATATGATTATTAACTTGTTTTTAATCTTATCCTTTTGCTCGGTACTTGAATGTGGTCTTCTGAATTCAGGTCATCAGTACTTCTCGGACATGCAACATTATCTTAATTGTTCTAGATGCAATAAAGCCAATTACTCACAAACGTCTTATAGAGAAAGAGTTGGAGGGATTTGGCATAAGGTAACATGCCATGTTGATTCATTTACTCAATGTCTCCTTTTGGTATTTGTAAAATGAACTGGTATTCTGTCACTTCTCTCTCAACAATTAAATGTTTTTGTTCCTTCTTTCCTGAAAATAGGTTGAACAAGGAACCACCAAATCTGACATTCCGCAGGAAAGATAAGGGTGGGATCAATTTTACATCAACAGTTACCAACACACATCTGGACCTTGAAACTGTGAAGGCAATCTGCAGTGAATACAGAATCCACAATGCTGATATTAATCTTAAGTACGATGCAACTGCTGATGACCTCATAGATGTCATTGAAGGCAGCAGGGTATATATTCCGTGCATCTATGTTGTCAACAAGATCGATCAGATTACACTTGAGGAGCTGGAGATTTTGGACAAACTTCCTCACTATTGTCCAATAAGGTACTACTCCAAGTTCAGCTTTCATTACTGTACTTCAACAGTTCATTTGGGTTACAGAAGTTTGCTTTTTGGACCACAAACAATGCAGATAGACTTGTGAATCAAAGCCGTGAATTGTTACAGAACCATTTCATTTGTTGCATGCGAAATTAGCAAATGAATCAACATGGTTTGTGGTTTCTTCCACACTATGTTGAGAGTTCATGTGTGCAAATCTTTGACTGGATAAAACTATGCAGAAATATGTCGTCTTCAATAGATTAATACTTCATTTTGCATTTTTTATGTGCTCTGTTGTGTGACCCTACTTTTTCATGCTTTCTTCTTTATCAATTTCCTTGAATTTGGTCTCTAAGTAGAGAAAGGAGAAGGGCTGGGCCAGTGCAGAGAAACAGTAATTCTACTTTTTCCAATTGTATGCAGAAGGACCGTGGTTGGTCGTCCAACTCTATATAGAAGCAATTTGGTCTATGGGCCTTTCATAATAAACAATTTGTTCCTGTAACTTTTAGAGAAGGAAGTTGCTCCAATCTTTCAAAATAAGCAAGTTGGTCTTCCAACGTTTAGAAATAAGCATGTTAGTCTTTTCGAAATGAGCAAGTTTCTCATCAATTTTACAGAGGAGGAAATTGCTCTTCCAACTTTCATGAAGAAGCTTGTTGACCCTCAAACCTTTCCAAAAGATTAAGTTGATCCTCCAACTTTAAAAAACGAGATAGTTGGTACTTGTCACTTCAATTTTTAAAGAGAAAGTTGGTCCTTAAACCTTTCAATAGGAGCAAGTTTGTCCTTCAAAATTCAGACATCTTGACAAATTAGGCAAAGTTGATGATATTGCCTAGTCTGTTTAGACACCCTTGCAAAGACAATGAAATTGCCACTAGATTTTATTTTATTTTTATTTTTTTGTGCAGCACAAACGAAAATCCTACTCAAAATTTAATGTCAAAAGTCGTCAAAGTCAGAAAAATGATAAGCTACCCATGCATTCCTGTAAAAATTAGAGACAACATGTACAATGGTTTGATATAATGGAAATAAAAGTAGAAGTTCATTATAAAATGAAACAAATTTATGTCTAACGATTAAAATGAAATTTTTATTCAAATTCAATGACGAAAATGAAAGTTCGTTCGAAGTTTGGTGACTAAGAGTGTCTTCTTAAACTTTTAGGAAGCCATTTCCGCACAATACTGCGAGTCTACGAGGCTCCCGACTAGGTGACCAAGCGAAACAAAACCCCTAAATACGATCCGGACCCCGATTCACCACAGGCTGACCCGCCGGCGTACCCGATATCAACCAGAAGAATTCAGACTCTCTGCGGCACAAGTTTCAGTTCGCCCAGCCTTTGTCGTTTAGAGGTTCTCGCTTTCAACCCCAAAACAATGGCGACTGTTATGCAGAAAATCAAAGACATAGAAGATGAGGTAATGCTCGTGGATCGAGAAAAAATTGATCTTTTATTGTTTGTGACGTTTTTAGTGTTGAAATGTTTGAGTAGGATTAGGTTTTATTTGATACTTGTTATCACTGTAACGATAAGAAGTACGACACGAAGAACTATGCTTTAGGGCAATAGAATCCGAACTGAAAATGAATAAATAATAATGTTTTTATTCATATATTTTGTGAAGGAAAAGGAAAACAGAAAAGAAAATTGTGTATATTTGGATTGTAGCAAAAGAAGAGCCGGGAAAAAAAAAAAATGTATATATATATATATATAACCACGACATTTTGATCTCTTTTATTTGCATTTTGTTATATATAAGCAAATACAACTAATTGCTGGGTAAAAGTGTTCTTTATAGTGATAATTTAGCTGGTGATGTTTTCTGTAGTTATACTGGAACATTCTTTAAAACGGGGTTTAGGAGTTTTGCCTATCTATTTCCTATTTATTGTTTGATATGTTTTTATTATCGGAAGAAACAGAATTTTAAGCCTGTCAAGCTGATCCATTTTCTACTCTCTCACAGATGGCAAGGACCCAGAAGAACAAAGCAACAGCCCATCACTTGGGCTTGCTGAAGGTATATTCATCATGCCTGTATTTTTGCCGTAAGATGAAATTTTATTTTATTTTATTTATTTATTTATTTATTTTGTTTTTCTAGGCTTTGATGTGTATATTCTGTCTTTCACACAGAGCTAACTTTCACTTTTACGTCGTTTTGTTGTTGTCAAATCTTTGTATCCTGGTAAATCCATGTTTTGGATACTAGTGACCCTTTGTTAACTTGTTTATAGGATTCCAGTGAAGTGAATACAATAATCCTTCCTATTAAAGAAAAGTAAAACACTTATCATTGTAAAATTGCATGGATGGAGTGTGAAGGAAATCAAGTGATATATAGTCATGATCATATGTTGAATCTGAGATATGAGATTGGTTATGATCATATAAATATGTGTGAAGTCAATCTGAGACAATAAAATCTGAGATATTCAAATAAATTGGTCTGCATGGATGTAGTGTGAAGTAAATCATGTGATTGAACATTTTTACCCCGAATAAGTTCCACGAATTCGATAAATTCAATAATCTTACTGCTTGCACAGGTCCTTTACTGAAAGTCTGAAACCATGGCTACATCATGCTAACTAATTTTTACAAGGGTTCAATTGAGTAATGATATTACCTCCGTGAGGTGAGGTGTAAGCCTCAATTCAAACCAGTATAGAAAATTACAAAAGAAAACACAAAAATATTGTCGTAGTAAAATGTAAACCATTTTGAAAATCCACCTTAAAACTATATAATTAGATTTACAGATTATCTTACAAATAATAAAGAATAAATCCTTAAGTTCGTGTATTAAACAAACACTAAACAAACTTGATAATCTATTTCTAGCAAATTGATTTTCTTTTACTTCCTTTCAAATGCAGATAGATTTTATTCTCTTAATTTATCCAGTCAAATTGATTTTTTTGGTACGACATGATTTTGGTGGTAGGCTAAACTTGCAAAACTTCGGAGGGAACTTCTTACACCTTCATCGAAGGGAGGTGGTGGTGCTGGAGAAGGTTTTGATGTTACAAAGAGTGGTGATGCAAGAGTTGGTCTTGTGGGTTTCCCTTCAGTTGGGAAATCAACACTTTTAAACAAATTAACAGGGACTTTCTCAGAGGTTTGTAATTCTTGATATGTTCTTTTAACTATACATATTTATGCTTGCTGTTATAGGCTATGTGAATGTAGGATGCAATTTCTTTTGTATTCTGGGCTTGTTCTATGTTGACTTTTAATTTCTCATATGATTATGCTATCTCGCTAAGTGAAACCCAGAGTTGGCAAAGCTTCATTGAGTTATTCTTGAAGGTTTTTCTGCATGTGGTTGCAGGTTGCTTCGTATGAGTTTACTACATTAACTTGCATTCCTGGTGTAATCATGTATCGAGGTGCTAAAATTCAGGTATTATCATTTGGTCTTTGGAAGAGTAAATTTAGTTGCCTTTCAGACTCCATTGTGAGAGCCACGATCAATTGGTTTTCCTCTATCCTATTGGCATATGATTTTATTATTGTGCCTGAACTAGGAAAAGGTTTCATGAGACGTTCTTGTTGTTCAAATCTTTTTACTTAAACATAAGGAATTTGCTTGAATATTACACGTGTTCTCAGAGATTTCGGTGGGAGCTCTCTTTCTTTTTCGTGTAGATGGATGTCAGTTTTAATTATAGATAGAGCCGTAGACCTGAGGTTATACTGAACAGCAGCAGCATGATGTTTGTTAATATTTTTTAGGGGTCAAAGCTAAAGCAAGAAATTTCTCTCTTTGTCATTAATCAAGACTCTAGTCTTATTCATACATCCTTTGAATTTTTCATTGACGTACCTATGTTGAATCGGCAACCTGTTCCAGTCTCACCCTGGGTTGTCGATTATAGACTAAGAACCATTAATGAGTCTATTATCGATGCAATTATTCATTTATGTATTGACGGTGCCTAATTCTTGGAAAAAAGTTAATATATCTTCTTTCAGTGATAAATATGATATTTCAGGCCCCTGGCCTCTGAGATTCATTTAAAGACATTGCTATATGAAACCTTGTTAGTAAAATTCGTCTACACACTGAAGGAGCAGGACTATTGGTTGGCACATCTATGTAATCCTATTTCTGCTCAGGTCCTCATTTGCTCAGTTTTGTAATTTATTTCCCTTTCGAAAGCTTCTAACACGCGCTGATTGATTGCTATGGTATGCATTCCTTGTGTCCTACTGTCTTTAGATGTAACGATGATAATATTTATCTAAACAAAACCTTAAAAGACTTAAAAGTGAAGTATGTTGTCCATTTTGGTTCTTGATGCCATTAATGCTTCAGAATAGTTTAAAATGAGTGAGAAATATGGGATGACGGATGAGTTTCAGCATTTACACTGAGAAAGAAATTGATTGGAAGATGGTTCCCAAAATCAATACTGTCAATGCTTTCTGTTTATTTCCGTACTATTGGAAAAGTGCCATTATTCATCTTTTATGGATGATTTACTGTACCATGAGTGAAAAAAATTTTAAGTGCATATTTTTAAAATTCAGTTTGCATGATGCAGGCTTGAGGAACGTGAGGTTTCCTTTCTTTTTGGTTGGATCCTATATATGTTTCATCATAACTCTGAATTGTCTCTGTGACTCATGTTCAGAAATAACAGTACGATTTACGTTCTGAAATCACAGCCTGTGCCTTTTTCTGTACTTACGTTGGGATGTTCTTCCTGCTTTTGTTGGCAGTTATTGGATCTTCCCGGTATTATTGAGGGTGCTAAAGATGGAAAGGGTAGAGGTAGGCAGGTAAGATATGACACTGTTACTGATTTTATTATTATTATCATGGTATTTTTAACTTTCTCTCTCCTCTATTATCCACATGGATGGCTGTTCTCTTGATTTAGTGTCTATTTGTCTGCCTGTGGTGTTAGTTTTGCTTGTATGTAGCAGTGATGGTGGTTGGACTTCTGTAATGTACTCCCACCCCAATTTGAATGCCCTAGTTTTGGTTGGCACAACATATATATATATATATAACCCCCATTTTCCAGAAATGAAAATTGGTGGAATAGTATTTTTTTTTTTAAAAATGAATGGTTAAAAAAGAAAAAAAAGTTTTGGACTTGCGTGTAATATTATGGAAGATTGTGTGGTTGAAAATAGAAGAAAGAAAAATGGAATGGAATTTAATGGGGGCCAAACGAGTGGATATATGTGTGTGTGTGTGTGTGTATATGTATACGTATATTTCTTTTACCCATGGTAAATATTCACGTTTGTGTTAAATCATGGGTTCGTTCTTCCCCACCTTGTGCCACCGCAACTGCTGCTAGACATGGAGGAAAGCCACCATTGGCATAAAAATTTCAACGCCACCCCACTTCTACAATTCCACAACTATCAACCATTTCTACTTTAATTGTCACACTCAAGGGATAGAGGAGAGAATTTTCGATCCTTCTAACATTTATAATCATGGATTCTAAGTCATTCTCTTCGATTTTGGTCTCCTCAATCCACATATGTATACGTATATTTCTTTTACCCATGGTAAATATTCACGTTTGTGTTAAATCATGGGTTCGTTCTTCCCCACCTTGTGCCACCGCAACTGCTGCTAGACATGGAGGAAAGCCACCATTGGCATAAAAATTTCAACGCCACCCCACTTCTACAATTCCACAACTATCAACCATTTCTACTTTAATTGTCACACTCAAGGGATAGAGGAGAGAATTTTCGATCCTTCTAACATTTATAATCATGGATTCTAAGTCATTCTCTTCGATTTTGGTCTCCTCAATCCACCCCCCTCAACAACATGCACTTAGAAAATAAAGCTCCCAGCCATCTTGCCTACTGTACCTTTATTAAAATACATGAAATTGAAAATTTGTAAAGAAAGTAAAACCATGGACTGAAGCCTTTTGATGGATGAGACTGTAAATCAGTGAATAAGGGGCAACGTTGTCAAGATAGATGAGAATGCATTGATCGAATGGAGGCTGCGCTCGTTGTGCCATTTATCTTGCCTATTGACAAAGATATTTCTGCAATGTTTGTCCAGTTTCTATATAGGCATGAGACTGTATATGACCTCTTTCCTTCATTAGATGTTTGGTAACGAAATTATCATCTCTACCTAGAGATTGCTGTAATTTTTTTATTCTTAGGGCATCATTTTTAGGGTGCAAGTATTCTTTAAAGCTTGATGATACCGATAATATGATTATTAACTTGTTTTTAATCTTATCCTTTTGCTCGGTACTTGAATGTGGTCTTCTGAATTCAGGTCATCAGTACTTCTCGGACATGCAACATTATCTTAATTGTTCTAGATGCAATAAAGCCAATTACTCACAAACGTCTTATAGAGAAAGAGTTGGAGGGATTTGGCATAAGGTAACATGCCATGTTGATTCATTTACTCAATGTCTCCTTTTGGTATTTGTAAAATGAACTGGTATTCTGTCACTTCTCTCTCAACAATTAAATGTTTTTGTTCCTTCTTTCCTGAAAATAGGTTGAACAAGGAACCACCAAATCTGACATTCCGCAGGAAAGATAAGGGTGGGATCAATTTTACATCAACAGTTACCAACACACATCTGGACCTTGAAACTGTGAAGGCAATCTGCAGTGAATACAGAATCCACAATGCTGATATTAATCTTAAGTACGATGCAACTGCTGATGACCTCATAGATGTCATTGAAGGCAGCAGGGTATATATTCCGTGCATCTATGTTGTCAACAAGATCGATCAGATTACACTTGAGGAGCTGGAGATTTTGGACAAACTTCCTCACTATTGTCCAATAAGGTACTACTCCAAGTTCAGCTTTCATTACTGTACTTCAACAGTTCATTTGGGTTACAGAAGTTTGCTTTTTGGACCACAAACAATGCAGATAGACTTGTGAATCAAAGCCGTGAATTGTTACAGAACCATTTCATTTGTTGCATGCGAAATTAGCAAATGAATCAACATGGTTTGTGGTTTCTTCCACACTATGTTGAGAGTTCATGTGTGCAAATCTTTGACTGGATAAAACTATGCAGAAATATGTCGTCTTCAATAGATTAATACTTCATTTTGCATTTTTTATGTGCTCTGTTGTGTGACCCTACTTTTTCATGCTTTCTTCTTTATCAATTTCCTTGAATTTGGTCTCTAAGTAGAGAAAGGAGAAGGGCTGGGCCAGTGCAGAGAAACAGTAATTCTACTTTTTCCAATTGTATGCAGTTAACTTTCTTTTGTTGGCTCATTGCCTAATGTCATAATACAGTAACTTTGCCAGGGAAATATTATATATGAAATCTCCCGTGGGAAAATATATATGCTTAGGAAGCAAAGACTTGTTATACTTTTTTATCATGTCAGGTTTTTTCTATTTTCAACAGGTTAAGCTTTCAGCACAACTACAATAGAAATGAAAAATGAAAGCTCACGGTCTTTTTAGCAGCAAGTATCATGCTTCCTCACTTCTATCATTGATCTATTCAAACTGTATGAACTCCAAATATTCTACCTATTTTCCCTTGTTCATAGTTTGGGACAAATTGAAAATGTTACAGTGGGAGACTTGGAGTTTTGTTACTTTTAGCCATTAATAGGCTTATGTTGCTTGTATACTCAATCATATGCTGATTTTTGCTTTTGTAGTCGAGAGAAGTATTGTAGCTACACGTTCAGTGATTGTTTCTTTAATGGTAGTTATTAAATGTAATTTACAATAAATTTCCTCAGTGCTCATCTAGAATGGAACCTTGATGGTCTGCTGGATAAAATATGGGAATATCTCAACTTAACTCGCATATACACAAAACCCAAGGGAATGAATCCAGACTATGATGATCCCGTAATATTGTCGTCGAAGACAACGACAGTTGAGGACTTCTGCAACCAGATACACAAGGACATGCTCAAACAATTTAAGTAGTAAGTCTATCTTCCTAAATTCGCTGTTTTTGAAAATTTTATTTGTAGTTAAATTATGTCTCAATAGCAAGGACAGGAGGCTATTCTAAGTGAAGGTTCCACCAACTCAAGCTAACCTAGTAAGGTGTCGGGTTTTAGGCATAATATGAAAGCTTTACATCTGGAGGGATTCGAGGTGTAAGCCTCAAATATTTGTCATATAATGAGTGAAACAACTTCTTTGGAACTTCAAGATAATTACTGAAGAATGGACGAGCAAAACTAAAAGCTCTCAGTCAAATTACAAAAAAGAAAAACGAAAAAACATCCGTCATTGAAAAACAAATGCGTATTTTGCTATAAGCAAAAATATCGTGCCATTTGAATCTGTGCATAGAAAAAACAGATGATTATAGTTCGGCACAAATTGAATGCATTTAATTATTAGGTTTTTATATTGTTAATTCATGCATATTGCAAAGTACATCCAAATATTTCCATCTTATATCCATATCTTGAAACCGCTTTTAATTTTCGTCATTTTGATTTGTTCTCCAATGACCGGTGGTTTTATTCAATAATGTAGTGCATTAGTTTGGGGTTCGAGCGCAAAGCACAAGCCCCAGAGGGTAGGCAAGGTAAATTTGATTAACTTGTATGACTCAGAATATTTCTATCATTTCAACTTCTATGCACCTGCTCCCCGTACCTGAACATGGTGCATATCACGTTTGTTGCCGGATGATCATTTTTTGGCCATTTAATTTTCAGGAGCATGAACTTGAAGATGAAGATGTCGTGCAAATCATCAAAAAAGTTTAATTTTATGAAACTTACAATAGGCATGTCATTATCTGTTGCATATGTCATGAAAGTTGGAGTGGTAAAATTATTTCCTCTTGTGCTTTTCGTGCTGTTTTAGGCGTGAGACAATGCAATGGGGGATAACTTGGTTTATAAGGAATTATTTCCCTGCTTGCTTTCCATGCCTTTTTTCCTTCTACTTTTGTAACGGGCAACTGCTTTTTTAAAATAAGACTTGTATTTGGAATTGCAGATTCATTGTCGTGTAGCAAACAGGTCTAATGTTTTCGATATGCAATATCGAGGTATATGATGTAATGGATGTGACATATTGCGTCACTAAGGAGTATATTCGAATGTTTTGGTTATATTTTCTAGTCTCATGCCTTCTTTTATAAATTGATGATTTTTTTTAAAGAAGCTGAGGATATGAAAAGGCATTGAAATGGATAGGCTTTATTAGAAAATAATAAATTGAGAAAGTGTTTGAATTAAGGTCTTGTTTGACTCCCATTGTTTTCAAAATATATTTTTCTCTCTTCTTTTCAACCACATTATTCATTAAAATAATATTATGAGTCAATCAAAAAAATTTCTTATTTTTAATCTTACATTTTTCATCAATCTTTTATTTTAAAATGCATTTTTTTTTTCCCGTAAAAATGGGGTGTTGGGATTGTTAAGCCCTTATTGTGGTGCACAATGAACCTTTGCAATGCAAAGATGGGATTGCTAATCCTGAAGGATGTACTAACAGGCTAATAAGACCATGGGCGAGTTGATGCTTGTCCTTCTAGTTTGAGTCGGCGAAAGCAAGGTTGGATTTACTGGAGCAAGGGAGAGGCTTAAATAGCTCGACCTATGGGGGGAAATTTATTGGGCCGGGTTGAGGTTGACCCTTGGGTGTGAAGGTAGAAGGAATTTGACTATAAGATCCACCATCAAGTAGGGATGGATGTTGGTTTTAATGATTTGACAATGCAGAGTAAAGAGACAACTGTTTGACAGGTAAAAGTTACCCTATGGATAACAGGTTTATCTTCTCTACAAGCTCACATCAACTGAAAGCTTAGCATCTCGGTGTCCATTATTAAGTTGAATTTGTCTAATGGTACATAATGAGGTGTATCGAATGGTGTACATCTTACTCACATGGGGTGTGAGATCCATGTGAAATAAATGATATTTTATTCGAGTGAATCTCTCGTCTATGTGAGTGGGGTGTACACCATTAGGTACACTTCGATGTACCACTAGCAAAATCGTATTAAGTTAGCCCATTATTAACAAGCCCCAAAGGCATTTAATGAGACATGACATGATCACTAATTATTTAAGACTCAAGTGCATCTGTAATTTTCCATTTTCCTTGACAAAATTGTTATTTCGGGTTTTCAGATTACATAATTAACATAAATTAAACTAAATTGCACCAAAATTTTCCATCAGACTTCAGGCTACACACAGCAGTTGAAGTAGCCGAAGATACTCCTCCTTTCCTGTAATAGAGAATCAAAACAAAATTTGATCAATATTAGGAGACAGGAACACTATTCGCTCGTTTGCTAAAGATAGTGATGTTCAGTATAACATACCAAACATACAGTAACTAAAAGTATAATAGGCCTTAAAAAGATTAGCGAGTTTAAACATAATGTTGGAGAGTGGTTTTGATGATAGTTGTGATAATCGCAGGAATTATCATTGCTGGCAGGATTCGAATTTCTCGTGGTCAAAGGGATTAGCTCTTCCTCATTTCCAAGACTGGCTCTTGAAATATCCTTCTTGTTTTGCATTCTCGTTTGTCTGATTTTCGAGAAATCCATCGAATATTTAGGCAACGTACCCTTTTGATCCCAGTCCCCGAATTGTGGGACAGATAGCCATATCGCATTTCTCTACAAAATAAAGAAAATTTACCATCAATAAATTTTTAGATGAAATGATTTAGCACGACTAACACAACATTTTTCAGTATATCACTCGGATGTCTTGAAAAAAATAACAAGGAGAGAAATGACAATGATGAATAAGCTCTCATCATAACACCCAGGCCTTCACTTCCTTCTTGAAAACTAAATATATAAATCTAAACTTGAGAAATTTGACTAGTTCTCATCGACAATGTAATTTTCCTTTATAAGAATCCTTTAAAGTTCTTATAATTGCTGATCATTTGATTATGTCATTACTTTGATTACCATTAACCAAAGGATTTCAAAATTTTGATATCAGAAAACTTAAAAAATTTATAAAAGTTATAGTTCATGTAAAATGTGATTAAATTTGAAGTTTTACACGTTGAAAAATTAATAAAAAGGGTAATTAGCAAAAAAGTCCCTCATTTTAATCCTTTCGTGCAGAATTGATTCTTTCTGTCATATTCTGTTAAATCCTTCCCTTAAATATATGTAATTTGATGTAAAATGTCCCTATTGTTTGCTGTAATTGCGCAAATAGTCCCTATCATTTCAATTTTGATATTTGGATATTCAGATCGATATTTCTTTGCTTAAAAGGTCCTTGCAACCATTTTTTTCATTATAACATTATGAAATGACTAATTTATCATCATATTTAAATAA